TGATCTTAATCGAGAGTTATCTTAAGTGATTTCGATCATTTAAGATGTAATTAACTATAGGGCTTGCCTCTATAGGGAACCAAGAACCCAGATAAAATAAACCCTATCTAATTTTTATGTTAGATAGGTGACTTGTTGGCCTTTTTATAAAAATATTTCGCAGATCAAAACGGATGTCACAAATTGTTTAGTCTAGATGATTAAATCCCTATTACAAGTAATATATTTATTCTTCGGGATAAGTGTATTGCTTGTAGTATTGTATTAAATCATCTAAACTATTAAAAATGTGAGACTCGTTTGGTCTCACTTATTTTAAAAATTAAAAAACATTACTTCTTTAAAAAAGTTATATTTATATTTAAATTATTTTCAAAATCCCAAAATCATCACCTTTTCAAACTACGAAAGTGAAGTTGAACAATAAAACGGCCGACAGACGTGTAATAGGTTGCCTGAAAGGGTAGAACCTGAAATAGAAAATTTAGTTTAATAATGTAGCAATAATTAATTCAATTTATTCTAGATTTAGGTAACTCACGAATTTCCCTCAAGTCATTATATACCAAACCGGAGGTGTCCTGTCTTGAAGTGATGGGTTTGAAGGGATTTGTTTCATCTGAGGAGTGCGACGATGGACGACTGCTCGAGAACGAAGGTTTGGAAGGGGTTGTACTGGTAGGAGCAACAGGTCTGGTCGGAGCAGGAGGCCTGATCGGAGTAGAAACAAAAAATGTAAACCTCACGAGCATCAATGTAGTGATGGAAGAGCAGATCAACACAAAACTATTACTCTGTGAGGAAGGGCAGGAAACTAACTTATTTGTTCTTTGTAGGGAATGAGGGATTGAGGAATAGACCAACGAGATGGCTGTTCTCCGCTTCCACCTAAAGTCATCTGTAACATGAAGAAAAAAATTAAAAAACTAGCATTATGCATGAAACAATATCAGTGTAAGTAGTATTGAAGTATAATCCCGACACACCGCACTAGAAGTACAAGTAGCAGCAGCAAAAATAAAAGCAGGAAGATATATAATGAAAATAAGAAAAATGATGTAAGTATAAGTATGACACATTAATAGTAAAAGCACTAAAAGTAAAAGTAGGAATACACAGAACATATAATGTGAAAAGTAAGAAAAATCAATAATACAACAGACTGTAAAATCATGAAAAAAATGAAAATCTGAAAAGATATACCACTCTTAGTCCATTTTATAGATGAATTAGTCAATGATGAACTTAAAATTTATTCATTATTATTATTATTAGTGTCATCTATAATTTAAATAACCTCTTCATATGCCATTGTGATACTCTCGAGGATATTCCTTCGATAGAATTGAGTTGAATACGAAAATATGTCATTTATTACTTTTGATGAATAGGTTCTATGATAGTTGTACCTTAATAGTTATTTTAGATTTACTCCTTATAACCACAACTCAATCAATTTCATCTCTTGTTCTACAGGGTATCTAAGATAGTAGACATAACTAGCTTAACATGCTAGAACAATTGGATTAAATTTTTCAAACCTACTGTTCATTTTAACTTTAGTGATATCATGAGTGTACTATTCTTGAACCTCGGTTAGAAATATGATTGAATCATTCACAGTTGAACAGGTATGCATTGCACTCAAAACAACCTAGATATCACAACTACATTACTTTTTGAAGAATTTCGTAGTAGCTAATCTCACCATCCGAGTGAGTGTTTCTTTTTACACAAACACCATAATTATACATATTATTACCTTCACATAAAAAATTTGTATGAAATCTATAACTATTTATATCAAATATTTGTCACATTGTTATATTATGATTAGACCCCCAAACAAGGCTAATGAGGCTTGATCTATAACTCCATTGCTTTGATTGGGAACCTATTACAAATTTTAAAATATAAATACTCTTAATTTGAGTATGCAACTTGTGTATTGATGAATTAAAGAGTTAATTAAGCGTATGTATAATTTGAACTCTATTGAAAATTTTTCCTCAATTTATTTGGTTATGACAAAGTCATCCTCTATGCTTAAATTATTGACAAACAACCTGCTCGCATCATTGTTAGTTATATGAGTAAGTTAATATAAAATTCTAAGTCATATCTCAAGCAATTTATAATTACTAGAAATCTTATTGCATAAATAGTTGGATTTCATTACAGTTAAGAAAATATATAAAGTCATTGCTCAAAGCTCTTTATCATTGAGGTTGCGTGTAACATGCCACTTTGATATTTCTTTTGATATTTAAAATACAGATAATTCAGACTGCGAAGACATCTCACCAAAAATTTGTTGTATTAATTAATGTTGCTCAAAATAACAAAAATATAATGTAATTTTCTTCTGCAATAAGTATGCCTCGCATATTGAGCTCTGTGAAGGTGTTTTGTTTTTTACAATTTTTTATTTTATTCAATAATCTGCATCACGAACATATTTATCCTGACTTTATTGATAACTCTGAATGTGTGGTGTAAGCTTCCCACAAAAGCTATTGCGCGACATTCAATAAATTTTAATATTTCTACGTTTCACTAACATTCTCAACGAATTGAGCTCTGCTTGCATCAAAAATTATTTTTTCATATATGCTAGGATTTTATTTCGTTGGAGGTGCAGAACTTGATGAAGCTCCAACATGATCATATTGAATATCTGGTTCATGCTTTCCATGCGCAATCAAGTACCAATAATTAGGTTGGAAGTTCTTATGGTAAAAATTCAATATGACTTTATCAGGTGTTAGGTATGCTTGATTTTTGTGCTTTGCCATGGGCATTGAAACTTATCTTCTTAAATGTAAATGGGCAGCTGTGTTATCGCTCGGGCAAATTCTTTCACATAATTTAAAATCTCATTAATGAATTCTTTTCTACTTGGAGACAATATATTATACATCCATAATTTCAAATTTTGAATATCTGTCATAGGCCTATATATATGTAGATTTAAACAATACAACCACAACAACAAGCTTTTATTCCACTAAGTGGGGCCAGTTACATGAATTTTTTTTCTCCACCGCGTCCTATTGTGTGTCATATTTTCATTTAAACAATAAGACATTTAAATCATCAGTTATACAAAGATCATTTTGTACATAACTATGTATATATGTCTAGACCTATAAATCTAATTAAATCTAATATATATATGTTTGTATGTGTGTGCATTTATGTATAGACACACACAAATTAACATATATACCTCGGGGAGGGTGGATTTAACACATCAATCTACCATTTTCCGTTGGAGTTTTACTTACATACCACTTACTTCATATCTAACATATACTTCAATTTTTACCTATGTGCCAGCTTACCTATATAGAAAAAGGTGTCTTTCACTTTGTAAAAGTTAAAATAGAGATATTTTTGATGTGTTATGAAAGATTTGGGTGGTATAAATGTATATAGTAGAGTTTAGGGTTATATATGTAAATACTTATGTATCTGGTATGTATGCAAATTCCCCTTTCCGGGCTAACTAAATCAATCAAATCCTAAATCCTACTTGCAGCTAAACTCTCCTTAAGGCATAGCTAATCTCATAAACATAAACCTAATGCAAAGTAGACTAATTTGGCAAAGAAAAAATAAAGAAGTGGACAAATTAAATGTGGGAAAAAAAGGAAATTACTTCGAAGTGCTCAGATAAGAGGAAGAAGAGGTCGCGAAGTCGTCGGACGGTCAGAGGAGCGGTTTCGGATTCGCCGAACAGTCGCGGGGAGGTAGAGCGCGAATGAGCTTGAGAGGTGCAATTTTAGATTTTAAGGACCAGGCGTTGGATTTGCGTAAGTTAATTTGCATTGACATTAACGTTTGTACTGCACCGCTATTAAGTGACAAAGATAACGAGGAATAGTTTCGTCGCTAATCGCGACGCTAAATATTTGTGTAGGCATACGGAGAAGCAAAACTCGTCCTTAATACTGATCGTCTTAAATCAGACACAAATATTTGGCATCGAAACATGTCCAATGCAAGTGTTGATGCTATTTAAGTATTTAACCATTTTCCCGTATTGATTGTTTCTGCTTGCTTCTGCTATAGTTATTACATTATAAAGTCTATCATAGAGCTTTACAATATTTTCAATATCGTCCATTTTACTAGCGTTATTCAAAAATGATGTTATCATTGTAATTATTTAAAATATAGAAAATTTTAAACCTCCATTTTATTTGTGTCAGGTACAAACCTGACGTAATTATAGGTGATTTGGATTCAATAAGTACAAAAGTGAAGGATTTCTATTCTGATTTGGTATGTGATATTATTCGAGCTTTACAAACATGTATTGCTATTTTTGTTTTTGTTGTTGTAATATAATTATCCAAGCATTTTTGTTTACGTTGTTTTTCTTTATTTTCAGTTAAGATAGCTTTCTTGTTGAATCAGCATGCATGAAGATTATGATTTGTAAATACTTCGATTATTTCTTAATCCCGATGATCATTAGCCAGGCTTGTTTTTGCTTCTTGAAGCTTAAGAATATTATAATAGAAATAACTTATTTTCTTTTTGGTTCACCAACATCTATGTTGTAATTATTTATAGATTGCTTAGACGTAAATATAACTCTTATTTAAAATAAAAATTTCTTAGATTGTCCTTCAATGTTTTTTGAAGGCCATTATTTTGCAATAATGATAAATATGTCATAAGTTGCTTTCGATGTTTGATCATGTTGTTATGTCAATGTGCCTGGTATGGCATGGATGAGACCTGATCATCCATGACATTTTTATCCCTGGAGTGTAAACTTTTGCTTTTAATTCTATTAGTAATTGGTTGTCACATTAGCAACTTGATGGATGAATGTTTTTTTTCCAAAATTGATATTTTGGTGTAATGAAAGCTCTTTATTTTTGGTGCATATTAGGTAGCTGCATTTACAAGTTACTCATAGTTGATTATCTACTAAATTAAAACTGTGCTATGTTAACATTTAAATGATAATTCCAATTGTTCAGCCTTAAACATATGTTTTTTGCATGAATTTTAATCTTATTACAATCGAATAAGTCTCTATATTTTAAACGTTTTAACTTGCATATTATTGTGTGTATGTACATCCATCAACTACTACTTGTTATCAGTCAACTTTCTATCATTATAAGGATCTTTCATGTTTCCCTAAAGACCTCTAACGCAAGTGGTATAGTCATAGTTTCTAAGGGGGAAAAAATACTCCTAGGTTCTAAGGATATTGGCACAAATTTGAGTCAAACCTGTTAACTTTTTTAACTAAAATTTTTTAGCCTCCTGTGTACAATTTATCTATAGTTAGCTTTGTGCCCTTCTTATTTATAATTGAATCTGCACCTATTTATCTGTACCTATTCTTGTGCTCTACTTTCAACTAATTAAATAATTCATGCATGTTTTTTATCCTTTAAAAGAATGAATATTTGGTGTTGTACCCTTCCTAATTCCTATCAAGACAAATTATGTCAAAATTCTAGTGAAGTTTCTTTAAGCAAAGGATAAAACCCATTTCAGATGTTTCTTCTTCTTCTTCTTTTTTTTTCTTGGTGTCTATGGAAGGATTATAGCCATAAAATTCAACGACAATCCTCTAGGCATGTGGAACTGGAAATTTTAGTTAAAGACCGTTATTTATTAGAGGTTAATTTAATCGAATGCCATTTTTATGCCTTGCAAAATTAATTACAAGAAATACCCCCACTACGAACAGATTTTTTCGTAAGGAAATAATCATTATTCACCAAAAAAAGAAATGATTTTTCTATGCAATATCAATTATTGTCGGAAATGCTTTTTTGGTGAGTATTGGGTTAGGAATTTTTTTAATTTTTACTTTTTATTTTTGTTTATCCAACCGCTAGTATTTTCCAATAGGCATATTGCTGGAAATCTACCAATATTTATTGGTAGATTCGATAATAGTACTTTTTGATAAATTAACCGTTATTATTTTTGTTAAATCATTGAGTTTTTGTCAATATTTTTGTCGATAACATGATTTTTTTTCTTGCACAATATTCTTTCGTGAGTATGACATGTAAATTTTTCCTATTAAACATATTACTTCTAATACATTTTATTTAATACTTCAAAACAAAAGCTACACGTTTAAGAACACCACAAGTGGGCATTAAAAATAAAATTTTCATAATACAAAATGTATTATTAGAGTTATTATAAATTATTGCTTATTTTTTATTCACTCCCCTCTCTCACATTCTTCTTCTATATGACTATCTTCCTCTTTATAGGCTCCTTTTGTTGTAACATACTGCCTTTAGACTGGGACATTAACTTGTGGTTGTGTTTCTGTGATTACAAAAGCTTGCTGATCCTCTGTTATAGCAGTTATTTAGCATTGCATCATTTCTTACATCTCATATCTTACATAACCAAGATAAGGGGTATATAGGACTAAGTGACCAATTCATATATTATCTTTCTCCTCCAATAACGTATGTCAACAATCTGTAATCTAACTATTAAGATCATTCACTTGAACATTTCTCTTATGTGAAGCTCCGGCTTTGCATATCTCTAAAGTACATATACTCATTTTATAAAAAATATTATTCATTATATATTTAAAATATTAAATAATTAAGTTCATATTTCAAAGTATTCATACTTAAGCTCTTTAGATTTTGTTGTTGAGCTATCTACCTATGGTGGGTGCACATGTCAAATGTTTGGGTCTCTTTCTAACATGAACTTCTATAAACATATTAATATTGTTTTAAAAAATATATAAATATAAATTAAATTTATTAATTTACACTCAACATTCAAATTCTATGCTCTATTTGTGAAATTAAGCTCCAATATGAAGAGAAGTGCCCATGCCTGCGTAATCAAAATCACTTTTTTCTTGTGGCTTTGTATTCCTCATACATGCATGACTTCCCCGCTTGGCTCAAATGCCTTTTCCGACCCACTTAGTTATTTACCTAGGTTTACGGATATTAGTAGCAATGCCACCCAAGTTTTTTGAATTGCATTACTCAAAATGTCATTTGATCTGATTATTTTTGTTGAGGAATTTTGTAAAACTTTTCTAAAATACAAAATTCATTAATTAGGGGGATTTACATTCATACTACACAATTTTTATATATTTATATATGTGATGCTTAAACTTAATATTTACTTATATAACATGCAAATTGTTAACATCACATAAAAAATATTTAATATTTTTTTTAAAATTAAAATTTACATTCTCATGAACATATTTTGATCTGATTGTGACACTAAAGTGTTAAATTAATAAATATCAAAGTTCGGGTGTTAGATAAATAAGTGCATGATAATTGTGTGGCATATAATAAAACTCTCATTAATTTGTATCTCAAAATTAAAGATTTATTTGATAAAAATACAAAAATTTTCATCTAAAACTCACAAAATTACTTGTCACAGTATCTTCGATGTTTCTTTTCCAATGATACAATATAACTATCAAATTTAATTCTTATGTCTTCTTAATCTTATGTGGGTTAAACTCATAGAAAAGACAATTAAAGTGGGTTAAACTCATAGAAATCAACTTAATTAATAAAGATATCTGTAACCGTTCAAAGACAATCATATTCAAGGTTTAATGTGTCATTGTTTGGTTCAAAACATTAAGTGTGCTCATGAGTAGCAATTTTACACTTCTTTGGAGTTGGCTTGGTTTGTGATACAATGGGATAAATATTAAGAGGTGTCAAGACAGCTAGATTGTCTAAAACAGTGAGGTGGTAGGGAAGAAGGGTAGTAGTTTGGTTGTGCATACAATGATTATAGTGTGTGGATGGCCCTCCTACTTACGATGGTGTTGGAAATGGTTAATATGAATGACTGAGTGGTATATTGATGGGAAGAGGTAGATCGGTGGAATATAAATTAGTGATTTGATATGTATGGTAGTGGTGGTGATGAATGTGAGTAGTGTGGAGTAGATCATACTGCCGGTGGTGGTGACATCAGCTATTTTTTTTTTCCACCTAAAAACTATAAATTAATAAATTTGTCATGTGTTTATCTCTTTCACTAGTTGACATCTATAAAGAATATAAATAAATTATAAATAATTTAATGCTAAAATATTATAAAAGAAATGTGATTATGAACATTAAAAATTAATTTGAAAGCCTAAATGTGTGTGGGTTTGCACTAGTCCAATTGATAATATCCTTGAAAGTTGTTGCTAGTGTCCAGTGTTTGATGCTTGCCTAAATAATAATAAACTCCAATCCTCCAAACTTTGGAGCAGGAAAAAAAAAGGGGCAAAAGATTATAGTGTGTGGATGTCCCTCCTACATAAGATGGTGTTGGAAATGGTTAATGTGGATGACAGAATGGTATATTAGTGGGAAGGGGTAGATCGGTGCGCTATAAATTAGTGATTTGATATGTATGGTAGTGGTGGTGATAAATGTGAGTAGAGTGAAGTAGATCATACTGCTAGTAGTGGTGGCATCAGCTATTTTTTTTTCCACTTAAAAACTATAAATTTAGTAAATTTCTTATGTGTTTATCTCTTTCACTAGCTGACATCTATAAAGAATATAAATAAATTATAAATAATTTAATGCTAATTAAAAGAAATGTGATTATGAACATTAAATATTATTTTGAAAGCCTAAATGTATGTGGGTGTGCGCTAGTCCAATTGATAATATCGTTGAAAGTTGTTGCTAATGTTCAGAGTTTGATGCTTGCCTAAATAATAATAAACTCCAATCCTCCAAACTTTCGAGTAGGCAAAAAAAAAAGGGGCAAAAGATTCAATGCGTGCCAATTGTGCAAAAAATTAAATTTACATATAAGTAACCATTAATTATTCTTCTCATCTAACTTAATCTTGGTAATAGTTATTATTGTTATTTATCATCGTTATCTTTTGTATTGTCATTAGCAAATCCATAAACCTCTTTAAAGTTACTTCAACTTTGTGAAAGTTAGTCATTAGGTCTGTATCGGCTTCAAGTTCTATGGATTATGATTTCTCTTCTTCATGATGAGAAACTTCCAATGTTTATTTATTATCAATGCTACCTATAAGTTTTGTCGTAATCAATACCAATCAGTTTTACTTTATTTTTAATCATCCAATTTAATTTAGTTACTATGCTTGAAATACCAGTCAGTGAGAGAATAAATGGATATTTTTTATTTTAAATTTCATTGTATTTTAATTGTTTCATTTTGCTTATACACTCCTGTGCCTATGTTAGGCACAAGATCGTGTTAATCACAGAGAAAGAGAAATAAACTTTTGGTGTGTCTTT